TGCCTGTTTTGGCAGTACAACCCAAGCCCAGATCAGTGACTGCCAGCCCCTAGCATGCAGGGTTTGAGGAGCAGAACACAGTAACAGCCAGCAGGACAGGGCCCCCAGCACCCAAGGCAGATGAGCAGAGCAGTGCAGGGATAGCAAGCAGCCTCAACCTGAAGTCCAGATCCTCAGAGAAGCTCACGGTGATGAAGCCAGTCCAACATCAAATCAGGAAGTCAGCCTGCAGGTCAGAGCCAAGGTCTGCTGATGACAACCATAGTCAGACACCATCCAGTGATCACCTGGCAGCTTCATAACAGCAGAAGAGGACCAAGGTCAGGAAGGCAGTTGATGTGTCACAGTCCAAAGCAACAGGAACTACAACCAGGCACAGTGAGCCATAAACAAACACCCCCACCTCATAGCTCAGGCAGGCACTGCGTGTCCCAGTGCTGAGCTTAAATAGAGTACCTGGTGTGGGTAGAGGCCCCAGGTGAGCCCAGTGAGGGCCATTAAGGCCTATTAGCACCCTCTGGGCCCTGACAACATAAGCTTCTCTCCTTGCACAATGATTTGAGAAACTGTCCCGAGGGAAGTTTCTACTCTTTAATGAGCAATGTATCCTCACTGGGAAGAACCCAGAGGTGACTTGTGGGTTACACCTTACCTTGCTAAACTGAAAAGCCCAGTGCTATCTTCAGAGCACGTCCTAATTTCTTAACAGCTGGCTAAGCTGGGCTGTGGATGTCTCCAGAGCAGAGGGTGCAGTTCATATCTGAAGAGGGCTGGTGTGTGTTGACTGAAAAAGGGCATGCACTGGCTCATGGGGACTACAGTCATTCCCACACACGTGTTCCCATGTGATTTGATGGGACTGAAGCTCCTTGGGATCTTTTACACAGGATAGTTACTTTCACATCTCCCTGAGCACTAGATAACCCGGAGAGGAAATGTGGCATCTCCCCTGGGTTCCCACCTTTAGAGGGAAGTCACTTGCAAGATGAACAGAAAAGCGCACACCCCCCCTCCAAGGAGCTTTTGCTCTAAAGATGCAGCGCTCAGCAGCCCCTCGAGGCTCCTCGCAGACGTTCAGTTGTGGCTTAGGAGCAGGCTGGACGGCTGGACTTGTTGGCAGACCAGTGCTCCACGGTAATGGAGACACTAAATCAGTCATGGCAGCAAGAACTGCATAATGGATGCAAAATACGCCAGAAGCCTGATCTGATTTTGGCTCTGCCTTGTTAAGTGGGAAAGTATTTTAGGAGATGGAAAAATACTGGGAAGTTCAGAGTGCATCCTCCCTGCAGCACAGCATGAGGGGTAGCTGTCTGCAGTGACTCACCTGTACCTGTAGATACACATCTGCTGTGAACATATTCCCATACTGTCATCACACGCTGGAATTCAGGTTTTCAGGTCAGCGAGGTCGACAAGGACAGAGCCATCAGCACCTGAAATGGCCTCCTGATTGCACTGCAACAGCTTGGCCTGCTCTAGGGCAGGGCAATGACACTATCCAACACAACTGCTACACCTTGAGCATAGCTACACTGGGAAGGCTCTTGTCAACCAGTCTCCAGACAGCGCTTTAGTAAACGCCCAGGAAACGGACAGAGCGGGTTCCAGCCAAGGTCTGGCATTGGAGAAAGTGAAGCACTGCTGGTCCAGAAATGCTGCATATGCTAATTTTTCCAAGTGGCTTTGGCATTAATTTGAGGAGAAAAAAATGTATTAGTGGAGGAGAACTTCCCCTACTCACAGGGCATCTGCCATTTGACAAGCAGACTCAGAAACAGCCGCTAGCACGCTGGGTACAACCTAGCACTTGCAGAGGCAGTGTGTTGGTTTGTGATCACAAGAAAGGCAGAAGCTATCAAGACTCTGAACCCTGCCAGGAGGTAGGAAAGAGCTTGCAGGAAGCGGAGGGACTCGTCTCCCCCTTTTTTCCAGATCACATACCCTGACGTGTTAGCTGGTTATCTGCAGGCCCCTGCTCATGTCCCCCAAGCAGGCACGTATGTGTTGTCTGTATGTATGTGTGTGTACAGATATGGTCCATGGTGGGCTAAGGTCAAATGGCTTTTTATGAGATGCAGAGAGCCAAGCTGTTCTCTCGGGAGCATGCACACAGCACATTCAAATTAAACTGGATCAGGATCTGGCCCATCGTGCCCTTTTCAAAGGAAGATGCTCTTCCAAGCCAGCCTCACCCAGCATTTGCCAGCAACCACAATCCCGATGGGGGAATGACCACTACAAGGGACGCTGCCTGGCTTCACAAATCCCTGTGTGCTTTGCAAGGAGCACCCTCAGCCTCTTCTGTCTAAGCCCAGGCACAGCCTGCTGTGGGCAAACCTCGCCTCCCAGGGCTCTTGCTTTTGCCCCAGGTTGTCAGAGGTTCTGTGCAATGTTCGAAGCACAGCAGCCAGAAGCCAAGTGCTCAAGCTCAGCTAAACTTAACGTTGTCAGGAGAGCAACTCCGTGTTTCACAAGAGCGTGGTTTGGCTTGCCAATCTCCAGAGCCCTGCAGTAAAATCCTTGCTACATTCGGCTGGAACATGCCCCCTTGCTAGGCTGTCCCTGCTCAAAGCAGCATCTGTTTTCACCCCTGCCTGCACCCCTGTCCAGACCAGACACTTGATGCTGTCAACAGCCAAAGCTTGCTCCAGGGAACCCGAGAAGCTCAGTGGCCGTGAGAGGAGGAACATGCCTTCAGACTGGCATTAACACTCCACTGAGCGCCTGATGCCAACGTTAGCAAGGGCGCAGCTGCAAGAATTCATTGCCCTGCTGGGTGCTGGCAACCCAACAAGGTGGGAGGGCATAACTGCCTTTGCAGTGAGGGTTCAGGAGGCAGAGTGAGCAAAGTGGCAAACAAGTGACTCCAGCAACGGCATCTCTCCATCGTCACCGCTCACATCGTGTGCCAAGTGAGGTGAGACCAGAGCGTGGGAGGTAGGAGCAAGCTGTAGGACAAAACTGAAGGGTGACTGTCAACAGCCCTGTCCAGCAGCAGGGCAAGGAGCTGGGAGAATCAGGAGTCCCACTCCATTCCTGTGTATTCGCTCCTGGTTTGCGGTGACGTGCTGGCCACATATTTAACTCTGCGTAGGTCACTACAGGCATAGCAGAGGCTTCACAAGGTTGCAAGCGTTTGGGAAGCATTTTGTATTTATTTGCCCAGTGCAACTCAAAGCTTCTCCCTCCTCCCACACTCCCCGCTACACACAAATTCAGTTTGCTTGACAAGCTCGTTGCAGCCCTCGTTACTGCTGGTTTTGCTGTCTCGGGGCCAGCACTTTCCCCGGCAAGGTACGTGGGCTCCCGCAGAGCCGGGCACAGCTTGCGAGCGCTGGCAGTCGCTCTCCCCAGGGACGGCCTCAGCCTGTGGCCCCTGGCAGTAGGCATCAAGGTGCTGACAGCTCTGTGCCCAGCCCTGAGGAGCCACGCTGGGCCTCACCGTGCGGTTCCAGGGACATGGCAGCTCTGCCATCCTGATCCCGGCACGCATTCGGGGGGCAAAGGGCTAGCTCAGGCAGGGCAGGCACGCCAGGAAAGTGTCTGTACGGGCTGCCTGCACAAAGCTCTGGTAGACAGAGACCCAATGGGAAGGGAAAAAAACAGCCAAAACAGTTAAACAAATATGCAGGAGGGGAGCTGGCAGACAGAAAAGGCAACACGAGGAGCCAGTTTCAGGCTGAGAGTCATGTGCTAAGCCCCCAGCAGGGCTCAAGCACTCCTAGCTCCCGAGTAACAACCGGGCTGAGAGGACACACACGCACGCACATCACCATGACAAACCCCACGGTGTTGACAGCCAGGGTCATCTCTGCTTGGCCAACACAGAATTGCAGCAGCCAGCTTACAAATTCTCTCGAGCAGGTGGGAGGAGGCTGGAGGTGCCTTACGGTCCCGTAAGTCTCGCCAGGCAAAGCACATTCACTATGGACCTCAGCTAAATTTTGGAGATTTCCCAGACTGGAATCCAAGTGGCAGCCAAGACGTGAGATCACAGCTGTCTAACCCAAGAGTGGGAGAAAGGGAGGTGGCAGGTAAGTCTGAAGGCGAAAGTAACATTTACAGGAGAGAGTCCCACAGAGGGATCGATGCTCCAACAAGCAGGCAATACAGGGAAGGAGCCGCTGCAGGCAGGGCCCGGGGGGGCAGCGTTCATGACGCTATCCTGGGGACAACCCTGTCCTGGTATCTATCCACAGTGAGGATGTGCCACAGCTGACAGACCGGCACTGGCAGTTCCCACTAACCTGAAAACACGCGATGTGTTGGTACCCAAACCCAACCCCACCAACTGCTGAGCAGCTGGTCCAGCATCCAGGTTGCTCAGTTATGCTCTTCCTTCCCCCGTGGCTGCAGGAGTTCCCAAAAGAGGAGGAAACACAAAGTATTGAAAAACAAATGTATTCAAAACGCACATAGTAAGAACATTGCATGTGAACAGAGCCCATCCTGTCCTTGCTGAACACTTCCATCTCGGGGCTCCTCCATCGCTGGTCCCAAAAATAGCACCATGAGTACTTCACCCTCAACAAATGGGCGTGAGATGGTGCTCAGTTTAGGTGCCAGCACTTCGATCCAGTCGTAAATTCACCTCTGCTGACAACTGCACAAAGGTAACACCCAGTAAGGCAGGGGAAGCCCCCTCCCTAAGGCTTCTGCACACTCTCCAGCATCTACTAAAGGATCTTTCACTGCCCATACGGATCACCACTAATATCAGAAATAGTTATGTTTTATTTCAGCTCTCATCTTCCTCTGCCTGACCCCTCCCTTGCAGAAACCAAGCACAAGGTCAGCCCATGTCAAGTGTCAGGCACAAAGGCCTGAAGCTGAGAGGCTGGCTGGTTCACGGGGAGTTGAAAGCAGTCTCAATTATCACCCAGCAGGCTGCACAGTCACCAGAGATGGGAAAAGAGAATCCCTGAGGGTGCTTGCAATCCAAGGGGCGTGGACAAGGCAGACAAATGCTTCTCAAATGCTCCCACTAGGTCTCTCCTGCAGATGAGCCCATAACAACTAGCAAGCGACAAACAAAACAGCAAACATGCCATCTATGTGGCCAGCAATGCTCTCCCTGTTGTGCTTAGCTACAAGGCAAAACAGTGAACGAAGTTGCTAAAGAGACTTGGCTGGGCATTTAACTACTTAATTCTGTTCTATTTACAAGGTCTTCAGCAGCTCAGCACCCCCTTACTCTGTAAGGCACAAAGCAAGCAAGAAAATGAGCAGCTTAGTCCCTCTGGATCCTGATCTCTGTAGCGTTCCTGGGAGGGCTGCAGGCTGGAGGTCTCATCTCGCAGGAGCAGGTGGTGGGCTCCACCACCAGCCTCAGAACTGCTGGACAATCAGCTTCCGCTTCACATCCCGGCTGAACCTGTTCATCCTGAACACTTCACTGTCGTAGAAGGCGGAGAGGTTGTGGATGTTGATCTGCCGAGCCTGGGAGGAGGAGGAGGAGGGAGGGGAGAGGTAATTTTTTATTTAAAAAAAAAAATGAGAACCACGTGGTTTTCCATAGCAGAGGCCGCATAAAATTTCACAGTCAGCAATCTCTGCTCTGCTCAGCAGGCAGTAGCAGGGGAGACTGCAGGTCAGGAGAAGGAGTGTTGGCAGAGCCAAGCTGAGCAAAAGGAGGACGCTGGCTCAGCATCTACCTGCTCTCGGCTTGTCCTTCTATTTACACCAAAGCCAGAATGTATCCAGTATCCAAAAGCCCCTAACACTTCACCCAGAGGGAGACAGTTTTGCAGGAGACCTCTGCCTGGGGGTGGTCACACCAGCAGCACCAAACTGTGGCTCTGGAAGTAGTGAATCTGCAGATTTGATGCAAGGAGCAGAAAAGTAGCAACCCAAATCAAATACTCCTTTAGTGCCAAGAAAGGTCAATACTTTGCACAGAAAGGCCAAGTCAGGAGCGCAGCCCCTGGATGACGACGCATTAAGCAGGAGGAGGGTGAGCCTCAGGAGGGATTGGGAAAGTTCATACAAACAGAGATTTTTCTGCTTTTTGTCCTTCTTCAAATGCAGGTGCCAGGTGTTCTCACTCACCTGCAAAGCACCAGCCGCACTGCAGGATCTACCACTCCAACCCCAATGCTTTATGGGGGTGCACATGACTGGAGGCAGAAGAATATGGTGCTTCCAGACAAGAGAGGAGCAGAGGCAGATGGGACAGTCCTGATTCTGGGTTAAACTGATTCACACCAGTCTTTTTCTGCTATCGTAACTTGGGAAGTTAGAAGTCTGAGAACACCTCCGGTTCTGAGGCTGCAGAGAGAGCAGGAACCACCCCCAGAGAACACCTGTGATGACGAGCCCGTACCTTATCCACCAGGTCCTTCTCTGGTACTTCTATGGCGTCTTGCTGGGCCCCGTAGCGGTTCCTCTGGTACATCACCTGCTCTGCGACCAGCTGCTTCAGGATGAACAGCAGCAGCTCGTTGTTGTCTCGCTTGAATGAAAGGTAGCGGGAGAATGTCTGGGAGGGAGGATGAGATGAGCCAAGAGGGTCAGGAACCAAGTGATGCACTGCGGTCTCCCGTGCCCAGCACCAGCCAACCCCCTCCTCCCGTAGAGCACGAGGGGAACAAAACGACACTGCTGTCACCTGTGCCCTTAGCATCTCTTAAGGGACTTTGGCCTTGCCAAGCTGCCACATGCACATGCAGAAGCAGCCCTGTGACAGCCGCAACACTGCTGGCTGCTCTTACACCCATCCAGAATCTCTGGAGTGGCCTTGGAGCTGCTTGGGGGCTGGCAGGGCACTGTGGAGGTGTGCTGCCCACGGGGAAGCAGCTGTGGGAAGGCTGGCCCTGGGGAAGGCATATTGCTGTTTCCCTTAACCCAGACTGCCCTGTGCCTCCCCAGCAGACGCTCGCACTTGGCTGGCTGTTTGCAGCCAGGGAGAGAGGCCACGAGTCATCCAGACTGAGGGCAGACACTCGGAGTGGATAAATGCCAGGCTGTGGGCAGCCAAGAGCTGCTCAGAGCCAGCCCCTGCCACTCGGAGAAAAGGGCAGACTGTGCCCTAACCCACAGCGAGTGCTGCCCTGTGGTTAACTGTCCCCTGAGCAGCCCGAGAAGACACGTGAAGCAGCTAACTGCCTGCTTGGCTCCATCACCTGGCAGCAGCGGCAGTGGGAGTCCTGTGCCAAAATAGCAGGGAAGGCATCAAAAAAGGAGACATGCTTTCAGTACGGAGGCTCAGGGTGCACTTCCTTCTATCAGCCCCAAGAAAAACATTGCCCCACCGCAGACTAACGAAGGGCAGTCACGCAGCAGCGCTTTCAGACTCACAGCACTCCATTTCTTGGGGCTCAGCGCTAGACTTGGCGGCACAGACCCCTGCAGGGCACGAAAGAGTCCCTTCCTGCAGCCAGGGCAGTGCAAGGAGGCTGCAGCCGAAGCCCCAGGGTCTGCGGTGCAGCTACAGCCCTCCGCTCAGCCAGTGGGGCCCACCTTGCGCATGCTCCGCATGACGCTGAACTTCTGCGTGTCGATGAAGCTCTCCAGCATCACCCGGATGGCCATGTTGACGTCATCTTCCACCACGTAGTCCCGCAGGTGCATGCGGGCGTGAGCCTCGGCCATCCGGATCATGGACTCAATGTGACGCACTGTGATGGGGATGCTGCCGGTTGCCTAAAGGGGAGAGGAGGAGGCGACTCCTTACTGAAGGATAAAAGACACGGGGCGAGACCGGTGCCTCCTGGCCCGGGGCCTGCTTCACGCTGCAGGGAGCTGCTCCCGGACCTTTGAGGGCTCTCAGGCTGAGGAGGCTCTGCCACCTGCTGGCACGCTCTGCGGAGTGCTACAGGCTCCCTGCTCAACGTCTAAATTCAGCAGGGCGCGAGGGGATGCTGCGTGGGGTCCCTCTTTGCCATTGCTTAGTGCCTTTCCAGGAACAGCAATCCTGTTTCCTCCAGCAACTTTTAGAAGGAGTTAAAGAAACAAAAAGCCAAGCAAGAAAGAAAAGGTATAGTTTTCCCAAGCTCCAAAAATCTCCCACTGTCCTCAACAATTTCACCTTCCACTCGGAGAGGACGGAACAAGCCTGAGAGACCCCACAGACAAGAGAGCAGAGCACTTCTACACAGAACAGCTCCCTGTAACGTGCCTGAAGCACACGGTTCTGAGTGAATGCAAACATCTGTGGGCCTGCCAGACTGGGCGACAGTAAGAGGACTTCACCATGGCAGGCACTAGTACATGTGTCCAGTCCCTCAGTCCACAGATCACCAACAGGCAAGACTCTGCATATAGATGAGGAATCATCTGTGCAGCAGACACTGCGTGATCTGCCTGTCTCTCACAAAACAGCGGCACAGGCTTTTGAGATGGGAATGGCCAGAATGTGTCAACACATGCTGGAGCAGGCTCAGGCTGATTTGCAGTCTGGGTACCTACTTCTTCCCCCCCCCTTTCCTCAGTATTCTCACCATAGACTCTTTCCTGAGGTCACTGTACATTCGGGCCACCTTGTCCTGGTCCATCTGGTTGAGTTTGGGGTGGACCTTCTCCTTGGCATAGATGATGTATTTCCTCAGGATCTCCTGGGGAATGGGTTCAACCCCATATGTGTTGGGAAGAATGACCTCATCGGCGTCCCCATTCACTGCCTCCTTGCTACCTGGGTGGTGCTTGACATGGCTGCCAACAACGAACCGGGCAAGCATTTCATCCTACAAAAGAGCAGTGGACTAACAGATACTGGAGACACTCGCTGGATAGCAAAACTCATCAGGCAACTGCAGCATCACAAGCTCCAGTTCATAGCACAGTTTGTACCTGCACTGGGTCCACTGTGTCTCTCACCACGCACAGGATATCAAATCGAGAGATGATGGGCTCTGTCAGGTCTACATTCTCCGAGAAAGTCAACGATGGGTCATATCGCCCACCTAGATCATAGAGACAAACCTCCAAGTCAAACACGGGCTCCGGGGCTGCAGCTTTGAAGCAAGCATAGACCTCCAGCACTTTACTAGAGACTTTACTGCTCACTTGATCTCTGCTCCAGACTGCAGGAACCAGGCAGAGGTAAGTGAAGCTGTGCCACAGTTCTTACAACAGCAGACCGATGCTGGAAGCCTGAGATGGTCCTGTGGTCACTCAACCCTTACCTATGGGATTGGCAGCAGCAATAACGGTGCAGCGGGCTTGCAAGGATGTGACAATGCCTGCTTTGGAGATGGAAATGCTTTGCTGTTCCATGGCTTCATGGATGCTGGTCCTATCCTGATCATTCATCTATGAGAAAGCAAAAATGACTTAAACTAAATCTGTGTCTACGCTCACAGCCCAGCACACAAAGGGCAATGGGCTCCTGATGCTCTGAAAAGGTACCAAACTGCACTATGCACCAGCAAGGGCCCAATCAAACTGCAGGAACCTTGGTCAACTGGGAGATGGCACCATGAGTTATAGCATCTCCACATAGCAGAGGTTATAGCCGGTCCCTCCACAGCTAATCCTTCCCACAGATGAAGCTGGGCCTCACCTTGTCGAATTCATCGATCAGGCAGACACCTCTGTCAGCCAGCACGAGGGCTCCTGCCTCCAAAGTCCACTCCTTGCTGACCGGGTGCCTCTGGACGTAGGCTGTGAGGCCCACAGCAGAAGCACCCTGGCCAGTGGTGAAGATTGCTCTGCTAGATGCCTTCTCTATGTATTTAAGAAACTGTGATTTCGCAGTACCGGGGTCTCCACACAGAAGCACATTGATGTCACCACGGACTTTGTGTTTGCCGCCTACAACAGTAATGGGAAAGACACATTGGCAGCTGAGTGAACGGCTTGATAGCAGCCCTGCCCTGAACACCACAAAGCTGAGAGGACGGCAAAGAACAGGCAGGGAAACCACTTTACAGGGAAGTTGAGGCAAAAAGAAAGTCAGCTTTGGAGGCAGTCACACGTGTAAAACAGCATTTCTAACCTTGTTGAACACACTATTCTAAGAAGCAGAAGGACACCAAAAGGTCAGACCTCCGACGGGGCATCAAGCACAACCTCCTAGAGGAGGAGGGATAAAAGCTTGCCCAGGTTTGCAGCAGGAGCTGTTTTCAATCTTAGCTTTTCTACCGTCACACCACAGTTTTCAGCATGACAAAAGCAGCCATTCCCACCACAGATATCCCTCAGTCTGTTACTTCATCTGTCACCAAGACACGCAGACAAGTCTAACCACTCTCACTGCAACAGCGCAGGCAAACCCAGATCCATTTGCCTTCAGCTGAGTGAAGCAGCCCCAAGTGACAGCAGTGACACTCACCTGGGTTTTTGGGCTCTCCACCAAAGAGAGCTAAAGCCAAGCCCCTCTTGATATCTTCATGCCCATAAATAGATGGGGCAATGCTGGCAAAAATCTGAAAGAAAAACCAGAGTTGTTGTCCAGGGAATACCACTTCCTATTCTGGATGGAATTTGGCAAGAACATCAGCAAGGTGCCATACCTACAGTTACCCTTACGACACTGCTGTCTCCAAAGTCTTTTATTATCCAAGGTGAGGAGGGCTTTTCCAAAGGTAACTACCCACCCAGAGTCCCCTAAAGGTGCTTCACAAAACCGGTGCTGTTGGGGCACAGCGGATTGTGTAGTCTGGTGCTGGGAGCTGCTGCCACTGCCTCCACACTCGTTTTGTAAACAAAGCACATCGCCGTGGCTGTTATCAGCTGCTGCAAAGCTGGAGACCTTCATTTGAGACTTCTTCACTGCACATGATAGTAGCTGAATGGGCTATGCCGCACATGAATTGTGATCATGGTCAAATATTATGAACAACTGGCGTGCTTTCTCAAGGGTATTCTCATAATAGTCTGATGCTGGAGACTACTGACCTTCAAACAGTCCTGGCTCGACTGAAGCTGCTCCACCCACTGGGAACAGCAGTCAATATAAAACCAGCACAAGCGAGGCAACAGAGTGAAGTCCCCCTATTACAGAGCTTAAACCTGACCCAAGTGAGGTTGAACACACACCAATCCAGGAGCTTTTCTCTTTGAAATATTGGATTCAGGTCCTAGCATGCAGAGGGAAACAAAGCTACGATCTCTACCACAGCTTAAGCTAAGTAACAAACATCCCCTTAAGGCACTAGAGATGCAAGCATTAGCCCACCAGAACTCCCCCAGCTCTGCTTTCAAGATACAGGGAGGGAAAACAAGGATCAGATATAAGCAGCGTCTGAGTGCCTCTCACCCATCTTCCAGCCCTGTTGTGATGTGCAAGACTTAGAGAAGGGGAGAAACAGAAAATCTGAGCCCCAAAAGTGCCAGGAAAGTTTCTCATTTAACTCTCATCAACAGCTGTCTGAGAGCTACAGAAGACCATTCAGAGGGACCTGGGATTTCTTTAAGTTCCTTTAACCACTGTTTAGCCAGCTGACACCTTTCACCACGTTTGGATCCAGCTGCCAGGTGATGGCAAGCCAGCAACAGGAAAAGCAGGGATGTCTGAGGCTGACCCACCTTCTCCCCAATTTGCTCATCCTTGGACAGGCCCACAATCACTTTCACATCTTCATCAGTCAGTTCTCCAATAGCCAGCTTGTTGTCCTTCTTGGCGATGTGGTTGGCCAGGATCACAGTCGCGAACACCGGGAAGCCGTTGGCGGTGTTCAAGGAGCCGTCGTAGTTGTTGTGGTAGATCCCTGTTAGCTCCTGGGCATCAGGAGACGGCATGTCAGTGCCTGCACAGCACAAAACTGCCCCCTCTCCATTTTAAGACACCAGTCTCAAAAGTAGTTGCCCAAATGCATCTGAAGATAACCACTTCCCACATCCTCACAGATGCTGAGGTGATGCCATTGTCAGTGTTTAAAAATGTTCTGTGCTCACCCCACACTCAAGTTCAGCAGTGTACTCACAATCTCATCCCCTGGCTTGCAGCTGTCAACCAGATCGGCGAGGAGAATGGCATCCTTGGAGCGGGGCAGCCTGCCAGCAGCTACCTTCCCAGGGCTCTCCTGGATTTTGATGCGCTGATAGTTCTGATAGACTGTCTGCAGCAACAAAATAAAAGTTACCCATCAAGCCTGGTGGGCATCAGCACAGCTGATGCTCTTCAAAGGCACCTCACCAGAGAAGGTCCATTCAAAGATTTACTATACTTTGGTTAGAAAACTATGGGCATGGGAGGATGGAGGCTGTGAGGAGCAATTCCAGTGCGTGATAGACAACAATGGGGACGGGACAGCACTTTGCCACGCCTCACCACTGTGTTTCAGCCACCACAGTGTTTGTCCACCCAAATACTGGATCAGATCCTGGGAGGAGGATGCTCCACTTGTGATGGTTAAAGATATCAAAGTAAGAATGAAAGTCAGAAGCTCCACATCAATGGTTTTGCTACTGTCCTCTAGTTTCCTCAGCTGGCAGATCAGGAAATACTGACCTAACTGGGGAAGGAGGAGAGCTGGACACTCTGTGGCTGCATTTCTACAGTATGGATAGGTAACTGCGCACCTACAGAAATGATCGTGGCAAAAGATTCAGCCCAAACACTTACAATGAGGTAGTCAATGACTTTTGGCTGCTAAATTGGGCAGATTCCGGTCAAGAGCTCAAATAGGCAAGATCTATCTGCACAGACCCCTGGATGCAGCAGCAGACCCCTCTCCCGGCACCAAGCCTGTTCGAAGGCTGGGAGCCAAGGCAGGCCAGGGAGGAACAGGCAGCGTGGCAGCCTGCGCAAGACAAGCAGACAGCCCCGTCCAGGCAAGCACATCTCTCACCTGTTCCATGTTGATTTCAAAGGGGCCAAGGGACTGACACTCCGGACAGGAACCGGGTTTCACCTCCTGGTTCTGGGACTGGAAGAAGGGTCCCAGGATGAAGCTGCACTTGCTGCAGTTGTACTTGACCATGCTGAGCTGAGGCAGGACCTCGGTGCAACTTGTCACCACTCCGCTGGTCCGGATCAACTGATTCAAGTGCAGTTGCCTGAGCGACTGCAACTCTTCCACCAGAGGCAGGTGGGAGATACGGACATGGATCTCCTGAGCAATACGATCATATTTGGGGTACATGGCCAACACCACTTCCTTGGCTGCTTCATCAAAGATCTTCAACATTTCTGCTGGGGCCTCAGGCAGAAAGTAGGCAAGGACATGTTCCTGGGCTGCCAGATCCTCGTGGTTCACCACCAGACTCTCTCTGTTCTCTTTGCACATGTCACTGATCCTCTCCTTGAAGACATTGTGCCCGTGGTCATCCACATAAGAAAAAGACGGTGTGAATTGTATTTTCAACCTGCTCACTCCTCAAAGAGTCTGCAAAAGATAGCCAGAACAGACAAGCCTCTATCCTGCAGGCTGCAGTTTGCAGACGCCTGCACCTTCCCTGAAAAATGTTTAGAGGGCAAGAATTTGAAACCGGGTGGAAAACTCAATTTATGTCTCTGACAAATTCTTCATCAGTACCAAACTTGTGATTGTTCCTCTCCAGTTCAGCACAGATACTCCCCAGGCTCAGTGTTCCCAAGACTCAAAAGCCTCAGCCCAACACACCACTCTCGCAGACACGTCCAGGAAACAGAAGTCTACATGAGAGACAACTGTGCTGAATGGCTGGCAAAAACCTGCTCTGTCTTCTGTTCCTGGAAAGGGACAAGACAAATGCCTTTTGTTTCCTAGCTGTATGACACTGACCCTGATCCACTACTCAAGCTTCTGGAGCTTCTGCCTCAGTATAAAGAAGAAATAGAAACAACTGCAGTTACATGAGCCGTTCCTAGATGTGACAATTTCTGCCTTTAAAATTGATCAGTGACAGCCTTAAAGACTGCTTCTTCTGGCAGCTCCTAGTTAGAACACAAGGCTGAAACACTGACATGGTTTTCAAAGTCACAAGGTCTATTTGTGTCCCCTCATGGGATAATCCAGTTTCCAGTGGGAGAAAGCAACTGGCAGAGACAGCAAGCAATCGTTGTCTCTTTCAGATCACAAGCTTGCAGACCACTGTCTGCTGCCCCACATATTCTTTCGCTAGCATTTCTACAATATGAATATTAATGAGTAGCAGACGCCAGGGGCCTTCTAATTAGTCAGCCAGAATCAAAGAAGATAGTAGACACGTCTCCATTATTCATTTATGTCCATCAGCATCTGAGTTTCTTTAAGTGCTGACTCAATGTCTGGGACTAACAGGGCAGACAGAAAAAATCCACCTATGGACTGGATCACTGCAAAGTACTATGCCCCACGTAAAGAGGAGAGAGCCTCTAATCCCCCAGCCCTACCTTTGCACATGTCGCTGATCCTCTCCTTGAAGACATTGTGCCCGTGGTCATCCACATGGGTTTTCAAGAAGTTCTTGAAGCGGTGGTAGATCTCAAGCCGGGGAGCTGCCATGGAAACCCACTCCCTCACCGAATGCCCCTTCATGTCTTCCAGATTCTCAATGCTCTCAATCATGTCTTCATCTTCCTCTTCCATGCCGTCAGCAGCCCGTTCCGCCAGCCGCCTCTTCCGTGAAGGACGGTCTTCATCTTCATCATCACTATCTAAGGGTTGGGAGGAAAAGTTGTTAAAGAGTTGGGATTCCCATTCCCACTCTTTGGATTAGTCACGGTTGGACTGCACAGGCTGTGAAAGCGAAGAGATCGGAGCCTGGGATACAAACCAAGGACCATCCAAGGCCCAGCCTAAATCCAGTTCTAGCCTGGCTCCTACATCTTCCACAACGTAGCTCAAGAATTTTTGGTGGTAAGATGATTGCAACAGCACACAGCCACGTCCATTAATGCACTGAGGGAGGAAGGTCAAGGAAGGGGCTTCCAAGTACATCAAAGTCCCTCTCATATAGCCCACAAGTCTCTACAGGAACACCAACACCAACAAACTCCACAGCATACGCTCAGTAGAACCCCAAATCCTTGATACAGCCCCAGGATCCTGACTTTGTTTCAGCAGTGAACATGTAACCAGAACACGCCAAATGAGCTCGTAGGAAGCCCAAATCAAAGGGATCACGTACTAGGGAGTCCAGCCAAGCCCACAGCCAGAGATTTCACTAAGAGCCCAAACACTGGAGCTCTGGGGACCTCCCTGCCACTCTGAGGGCGGAAGTCCAGCTCCCCACAGGGGCCGGCTCACAGTCAGCCATGTGGGGATCAGCAGCCTGCTCAGCACAGCTCATCTGCACCTACCGTAGAGCAGCCCCCTCCTCATGCGGCCCATGCCCTGCTCCAGCTCGCGGTCTCGCTGCCTCATGACTCGCTCTGCGGCTTCCCGCTGGCTGGCCGTCAGCTCCTCCACATCTTCATCGTCCAAGGCCAGGCCCTCTGCTTCATAGACGTCCAGCTCGGGGATGGGCCGGTAGTCCCTAGCGCACAAACACACATCGCACAGCGTCAGGCCAGGCTCCAGAGCGCGTTTCGCCAGCCCTTCTCTGCCTGCTGCTGGGGAGGTGTCAGGACAACTGTTCTGCAGCCAGACTGACCGTGCGGAGCGGGCTCTGCACAACGGAAGATGCCCTGCAGTGCCAAGGGCTCCGGCACCGTGGTTACGGATGCCAGCATTCAAGCCTTTGTAACATGAAGTCCGTCAGCGTGCCGGCAGGCCTGGCTGAGTGAAAAAAAAAAGTTAAAATCCACACCCGCAGGAGCAAGGAGCTGGGCCGGAGGCCCATCGTGCATCCAGAGAGATGCTGGTTTACTCATGCTGGATCACACTTGCGCTTTGCTCTCAGCTCGCAATTCGCTCAGTTCTTCCAGGACTGAAAGGACGCCATGCCCTGCCCCTTCTCCCCTGTCCAGCAGCTCTTCGGCCCCCTCACCCCAGCCACCAGGCACAGCAGAGAGACCCTCCCCAGGGCTGAGAGCCTCCCCCCACGCCATGTCGCTGGCTGCACCGACCCTTAGCAAAACCCCATGCCCAGCCCCCCCAGCAGCCGGCTCCCACCGGCCTCCTTACCTTTCCATCCCTTCCCCGATGAGCTCTTCCCCTTCTTCCTCCTCTTCGGGGAGCCCCTCGGTCCCCAGGAGCCCCTCGGACTCATCCTCGAAGGGAGGCAGGTCCCGGCCGGGGCTGGAGGTGAAGGCAT